TTGATGTTGTTTTTAGTTTTTCTTTGTATTAGGGTTATTTTGAATAAAACTTATTATAAAAAAAGGCTTTGCTAGCTTTGCACTTGATATGGCAAAAACCATATCTAGAGAAATTCCGACAGAAGCTATTCCATACTCATGATCTGGCAGTTCAATTATATTTGGAATGACATTATTGGTAATCTGCCTTTACCATATTACTGTATTGAGAAAAGTTTGGTTTAAAAATCCAGAAAATAAAATCTGACAGCTAACTAGTGATTCATCTCTGCCCTACTAATTTACAGGGACTTCATAATTTTTAGTGTGCATTAGAAAAAAAATGAATATTTAGAACTATGAATATCATACATTAGGTACAGAAAATATAATATATTCTGGATTCCTGAAAATTGCACAGGGAACTACAGTGGTACCTTAGCTCACAAACTTAATCCATTCCACGACTCTGGTCGTGACCCAAGTTGGTCATGAGGCAAGTCAAATTTCCCGATAAGGTTCAATGTAAATAAGGTTAATCCATTCTGCAACTATTTTTTTACTCACAATAATCTAAAGCAAAGTGACAAAGAACAACAAAGATCGTGGCCATCTCCCCCCCCCCACAGTGATTGTGTGGGGGTGGGGTGGGGGGAGATGGGTACAATCGTGGGCATGCTGGGGGGGAGGCGGGCTTGGGTGTGGGTGTGCGGGGGGGAGGCGCGCAGAGGGAGGCGGGCACAAGTGTAGATGCACAGCGGGGAGGTGGGCATGGGCGTGCTTGGGCAGGGAACATGGGCGCAATCACAGCCATCTCTCCCCCAGCATGACCGCGATCGTGCCTGTGCAGGAAAGGTGGGCGCACTCACGATTGTCACTCGATGCAGAGTTTGTGACCTGTGTCAAAATTTTTATGAAATTTCTGTTCGCAACCCGATTTGGTCATGAACTGAGGCATTTGTGAGCCGAGGTACCACTGTACACATGTAATGGAAGTTTTTTTATATTGATACATGAAGTACTTCTGTTAATAATAGAGTATATTATATTCTTCCTTGTTTCAGTTTAGAAATGTTGGGTGTAAAAGAAAAGATGGCTGATGAACACTTCTTACATGCTGAACTTGTCATATTAAATTAAAAATTAATACTGAAGAAATAATTCAAACAAAATTAGCCTTTAAATCTTTGGTATTTTTTGCTTTGGTTTTTCCATCTTGTAGTATCAATGGAAATTAAGTAAATAAATAATTATAAAATGGCAAGTGATTACTCTTCTTTCATTCCCTCACTCTTCTCTTGCTCACACTTGCAGTCTAAAAGTTGACCAGCAATAGGAGTGTTGCTTACATCCTTCCCTGCAGCAAGTACTCCTACATGATTTTTTCACATAGTCCTATTGTATTTCAAACTTGAACAGTCCATAAGAAAGGTATTTCCTAGAAAGCATAAGCAAAGCAAGTCCCTGGTACTTTTGTCGATTTAGGGGGAAAGTGGCCATTCCAATCCCCTCTGCTATATTTATGTTACCCAGATTTAAAAACACAGACGACAGACGGACAGACAGACAGACAGACAAGCATTCCCCCCTTTCCATTTTTGTGCTTTTACAACAAAAGCAATAGACACATGTGGAATCTTCAAGAAAATATTATTCCCATCACATAAGAATAATGCAAAGCCTCCAGCCAGACCAGAATGGGAGCCTTGTTGCTCTGTTCAAGCTGTGGGTGGGCAGGGTCACACCTGGGGAAGGGGAACCCCCTTTGTTTCTTCCATATGCTGGCCATCTCCAGCTGTCCTAAGTCACTCTCCCTACCTCAGATCAGAAAACTTTCTGGAGAACACAGATTTAAAGAATAGAAAAGTGGCAAAGATACTACTTTTCTCTCCTTCTGTAGGTGAATTGTTTTCGTACTCACAGCCTCACCCAGGAAATCTTCTACGTGCTCACAAACTCTAGTCAGACAAGTTAGTTTATATATACACAGCCATATGTCTATATAAATATATATCTTTATACAAACGTATATATTTCTGCCTACCTAGGGTGGCCCCTATCTCTTTCAGTGAATCCCAAAAGAAAAAGCAAGCAGTAGTACTGATAACAAATCCCAGCAGTAGTCTGAGCACATAAAGTTCAGCAGAGAGCCAGCAAATGAAAGTCTGGAAGCTGGAAAAACAAGCAATATTCCACAACACTCTGTATAGAATACTGTTTCCCCAAAAATAAGACCTAACTGGAAAATAAACCCTAGCATTTTTCAGGATGCTCATAATATAAGCCCTGCCCCCAAAATAAGCCCCAGTTAAGATCATCAGCCAGACGGATGCATTTAGTACATCTGCTGCAGCACAATTTAAGGTTTGGACAGTTATGATGATGTTCCAGAAGAGGATGACATGACTGTATTTGAATAAATGTAGATTGTTGTACATGCAAAAATAAGACATCACCTGAAAATAAGCCCTAGTGCATTTTTTTGAGCAAAAATTAATATAAGACCTGGTCTTGTTTTCGGGGAAACGCGGTAGCAGGTGAGGCAGATAGGAGGTGCTTGGCTACTGGGTGGAGCTAAGGAATGGCCAAATGGGAAGAGCTGGGTCAAGGGAGATCTGAAGGCAAGTATGAACAGTCTTGCATCTCTCCCTATTTCTTGGGGGACAGGTTAATTTGTGGATTAAAAAAGAATTTAAAAATATATTTTGTTTCAAAAGAAGGAATGAACAATTTGTTTAATGAACCTGTCTTTACAAAACAATGGAGAAGTGACTTGGCATCAGCCTGTACAGGTCTTTCTCTAGCAACTTTCTCTGTTGATGGCATGGGTCAGCACCCCTGCTCCCAGTTTGTAAACTTTTATTTTCAGATCTTGTGACAAAATAATGACTTTTCTCTAGCAGCCTATTAGAACCAAAGATGATCAGCCTTTAATATAGAATTCATCTGTTTCCTTAGATATGTTTTATTTAGGAGCATATTGTGGGGAATATTTCAGAACCTTGTCAACATTTTGGATTTAATAAACAATTTATATTGTAATTCAAATATTAAACTGGACACTTCTACAATATTTTCTGCAATTTCAATATCAGCAATTAAAGACAGCTTCTCAGTTGAAACTAATAGCTGTGACTCCAGTAGGCTTAGTATTACATCACTGATACAAGCATTATCTTATAGAGCTTCTCATGTAGCCACATGTCTCAAGCAATGGCATGCAAGTTTATCACAGGATGCAGAAGCTGTCAGCACAGCAATAGTATGTTTGTGCGACAGCACTGGGGTGTGTGTGTGCTATTTTCTGGCAATTAGCAATTAGTGATTTGCTGTAGAATTAACAATTGTTATTCCCTAAAAGCATGCCAATTCAGAAAGCAGCCCAATTTTATAAGATTGCCTGAAATTATTTTTAGCACCCCATTGGAGGTAACAAGTATACCCCTGTTTCACCAGCTATATATTGGTAGGAATTCTAGCTCTGTGCCTTTCTTTGCATCTTAAAACTTCAGGTTCATAAACTAACATCAACATCTTTCTCACAGATCTCTGGTAGTGAATCTGACTGAACATAGTTGGACTTACTTCCAAATCAACATACAGTAGATTGTAGTGTAAGAATCGTGGGCATGTACAACCCTAGGATACCGCAATCTATGAATGACATTTTAGAGACTTAAATCAGTGTAATAAAGGATAAGATTTATTGCACTAGTCTAGTAAAACCTCCCTACCAGAGGAATAGCACTCTAAAGACAACTCTGCAAATGAACTCTGATTTTGTTCCTTTGAGTAATGTTTCATTACTTTAAGTAATATTTGTAAAAGTACAGCCATTTTACATGCATGTTTTGCAGCACTTTAAAATAAATGAAGCTATTTTGAAGTCTTTTTTAACCTGACTTTATTTATGACACTATTAATAATATACTGACTCTCACTTATGATGGATCAAAAAGTAGAGATATTTTTAGCACCATCATATTTAAGATGAAGGTATTTTTCTTGTTTTTCTTTTAATGTAACCCTAGGCAACCATTTTATGAGGTTAGAGGAGGCAGGGAAGAGGAAAGGGAGGATTGTGCAATGTCAATGACAACTTAATTGTTCTGAGCTCTGGTGTAAGGTGCTGTTGGGAAAGCACCCAACATGCAGCTTAATGAATTAAGATTTCAGCTTCTATTAAATCAATAATACCTTTATTAAACACTCTATATAAAGCTTTCTATTAAACAATGTATGCATACTTCTAATGCATGAGGATGGCAAGGCATGTACATCTAACCAGTGATCTGAATCATTCTTTTTCTCTGAAATGTGTTTGGGAGGAAGAAACTATGTTAAAGCAGTCACTTGGCTGACATTTTAATTTGTGATAGGAATATTTTTAACATGCTCACTTAATGTATTTCTTCATGTAACTCTGGAAGTGTGCTTGGCTAAAACAAATTGTTGATTTAAAATATCAATGTAACACAAACACTCTTAAAAACTCAACTCTGAAATGTAGACCTTTTCATACCCTAGATATCACTGCAATTTCACTGAGCCCTAATATACTTCTCTCAACCTGCTTCTAATCTTTCCCGCAACCTCTTAAAACTAAGTTATAAATCAGAAAGTCCCTGGTTTGCATTTCACTCATCTCTGTCATAAACAATCAGCCTCAGCTCTCCATCTGCAATAAGGGGATAGTAATACAGTGCAATTTTAAAGATTACAACAATCAAGGGTTTCGAACACTTGAAAGCACTATAGAAACATTAAATAGTGTACTAGTTATTGTTAATAAATAGAATTGGGAATAACACAGAAGTATGTTAATGTTAATGTTGGACTCCATTTCAAAACATGTTGCAATCAAATAAGTCTGAATGGAAATTCCAAAGCAGATGAATACTTTACACAAATTGTTTTAAGAGACTGAATATACAGATGTTCATGTTCCTTGGAGAGTTTTACTGAAAATCTGTTTAAAAAACTTCAAGTATATAATCCTGGCTTTTTATTTTCAACAACAGCGGAACCAAATTGGTCACATCAAGTGGGGATACAACAGTTCGGATATGGGACTTTGCAAAGGGCGGATGCATTCTGACCTTACAAGGTCACAGCTATGCTGTGTGGGACTGCTCCTGGCATTCCTGTGGACATTTTGTGGCTTCTGCCTCTATGGATAAAACCAGCAAAGTATGGGACCTAAACAGGTAAGCAGTTACTTGTAACTATCTGTATGTTGATTCTTGATGGATATACTCATAAATAGGTGGGAAAACAAAGATTAATTGCAAACTGCAATGACTCTTTTGTATGTATTTTGGGGTTTGAATAATTGTATTAACACGGTATCAAAAAGCAAACAAACAGAACAAACCTACCAATGTAAGTATGCATTATCAATTTTCCTTTAAAATAATCAATGCAAACAAAGACAAATGTTCTTATGCCACTTTGGTTTACAAAAATAGTTGCCTTGCAAAGTATCTTTTATGTTTAAGCTGATTGTTCATACATGGTGCGTTCTTAGTAAGTGCTTGAGATTCTTACAGATCAGTGCTATGTATCCAGATTATACTTGCTCTCTCTGGTATATGATGCTTTAACAGCCAAATGGTATTCAGGAGGGAGTACCTTTTCTACTTCTTTTAAGCCTTCTTCGGTTCAGAATACATTGTGTACAGAAAACAGCCCCTCAGTTCTGCAACTTCAGTGCTATTTCTTTCTCATTTGGTGTAATAAATTGCACCATCTGGTGATGGCAGTATAATAATGCTAGTCACCCAATTGTGCAGATGCAATATTTTTGCATTCAATTGTTGTGTTGGCAGAAAGCCATGGGTTATGATTCTGCCAACTGTCGTTGTGCTCCATCCCACCTTATTATTAGTTTTGAAGTGACCTACAAGATTCAGTCTTAAAAGGGGTTTTGGGGTTGTTGTTTTGTTTTGTTTTTGTGCATATGACTGAAAGCTTGCATGTTCTACTTATGTTCTGGAAGAAAACACCTTAATTTTTATGAGATCTTCCTTCTAATGGATGCTTAAGTAAGAGAATTAAGCAGCTATCCTGGCCTGCTGCCCAAGGCAAATGCTGTGTTTTATACCTTTTCGTGCTTTCATGAAATTGTCTGAAGTGTCAAGGGTAGTAGATGGGAATTCATAGTGTCTTAGTAATAAAAAGCATTTCAATAATTTATTCATAATCTGGCATTTTCTCATTAAAATAAATGGTAAATCTGTTTGTTCTATTTGCATATGCTCTTCATATTTACTAAGACATCCATAACTGGTATTTCTTATGATGCATATAATCATCACTACAAATGATTAAATTGTTCACAACATAAATTTGATTATGGATTGGAATGTGCTCAAGCTATCGTGTGCCAGTTATTTTTAGAGTTCATACATTTGTGTAAATAGACAAATGCAGAAGACTGTTTAACATTTCTGTTTTTAGGATTGTACTTCCAAATTTATTATTTAGGATTTAAGGGGATATTGTTTCATGACTAGCACTTCTGAGGTATCATTGGTGTGCACATTTGAGTGCACTACCAATCAAACTATTTCTGAGAGACAGCTCAATCCTATTCATGTCTACTTGAAATTAAGATCCAGCCTACTGGACCATCATTAACACTTTTCCTGGACTGGGTCACTTCAGAGAGGATAGATAGTCACATACTGGAATGATCTCCTGTCTCTGGACTATATCTGTGAGCAAATGGGCTTTCTGGTTTGGGGAAATTTCACATAACGTCTCCAACTTCTGCGGATGCTTATGAATTCAGTGGGACATAGTTCCTTACTAAGGATGGTGATGGTAAATTTGTCACAGTTCAGCTATTATGTCATTTACAGAGAATACATAGTTTTTGTGAATGCATGCTCATATGATTTATATATTAGAGTTATATCCTGCCTTTTTTTGCTTCTTTTAAACTCAAAGCAGCTTACATCATTCCCCTCCTCCTGCCCTTAATCTTATCCCTAAAATAACAACCCTGTGAGGTAGGTTGGGCTGAGTTCACTCCATGGCTGAACAGGGACTAGAACTCAGATCACCTAAGCCCCAGCCTCACGCTCTTAACCACTACTCCACACTGGGTCTCAAAAAACAAAAACAACAAAAAATAAAGATGAAATCGAAGAAACATTTGAAAGCTAACGATTTCATTGAATACCATTATGTCTAATGGTTAGAAAGTGCTGGAGTAGGACTGGGGATATCCATGTTAAAATACCCACTTAAGCTACCTCATGAAAATAGGAGAAAATTTTGTATGCCACATGAGCTCCTAGAGCAGGGAACCTCAAACTTTTTCAACAGGGTGTCAGTTGAAAGGTGCTGGTGATGGGCACAGGCCGCCAAGGTGGTGCAGGCAGTGCGGGCGGCACGGGCCAGTGCGGGATGGAGGGGCAGGCGCACACACTCGGTGAAGGCACACACGCGTGGAGATCGTTTTCTCTGAGTGAGTCCAAAAGAATATCTGCATGACTAAGCTGCCGCCAGGCGTGTGCACTGCGACGTGATGGCTTGCTCACGAGGGGATCCTTTTCTCCAAGCAAGTCCAAAACTATCTCCACACAAGCAAGCCACCACCTCGCCACGCGCATGCGCGTGCCCGTGGCAAGTCCAAAACCTCTATGGCAGGACTGTCGTGAGGTGTTGTAACTCACGAGAGGGCTTAATTAGCTCACACTGTAGCCGGCAATAAAACTAAAGTCTTTTATTGCTACTTTCTACAAGATTTATGATACTACAGATAAGCTCTACTACAAAGGTCTAAACTAGTCAGTTGCCTCTCTCTTTGTGATGCCTCTGGGGAGACCACTTGGGATTAGCTTTTCCTCTCACATCTTTCCGCTCTTGGGAGGGACAAAGCTTTGTCTTGTTTTTTCTGTTCTAATCGTCGTAAGCTACGTCGAAGACTAGTGTGGACTAAGGACAGTTCATCTTCTGTATCTTCTGGAGCTTGTCCAGGAGCCACAGCATCAGAACATGGGGGGGTACCTGGCTCATGCTTGTCAGATTCAGAATGGGGAGAAGTCTCCCGCTCAGAAGCCTCATGACTAGGCTGAGACAGAGCTGTTTGTTCAGGGAGCAAAGGGTCAGTATGTGGGGGAGCTGTTTGTTCAGTTGTTCCCAAGTCAGGCTGGGGAGGGGTCGTTTGGTTACTGGGCTCCAAGCATAAGTCACCCTGCTCTAATGTCTGGTTCTCATTTTGAATGTTTGACTCTTTCTCGTGAGGTGCCGTCTCTGTAGAGACGTCAGGCGCGACAGGGCTGGATAAATGGGCATGGCAGGTCGGATCCTGCCTGCATGCTGTAGTTTGAGGACCCATGTCACAGAGGAAGGATGAGGAAAATGTAATTAATTAACTAATTATTCAGACTAAGAGGTAGCTTAACTCATGTTACTTCTAACTTTGATCATCTTTTTTACAAAAGGACAAGCAATCAGGAGTTATTACTTTAAAGCTCCTTTAATGTGCCTTCCCACTGATATTTGTGGCAATAGTTGACCTGTACCCATTCCAGTCTGCTGCATTATGGCACTGTCTCCTACCCTATGTGAGAACAACCCACAGATAACTGGCAAACATGAGATCCAGTCCATCCAAACTAAAGCACTTGAAATTCTGTTGATTTCAGAGAGAGTTAAACCAGTGAAATTGGACCTCATGCGAATCCACACAAATGTGTTGTATGTGTGGGATTGCTCACAAAGGGTTTTGTTCTTGAAAGATCCTGTTGCAATCTATAAAACTAAATTTTGTGGGTTGTTTAAGCTGGATTTTAAACCAAATAAACAATACCTATAAAGTACTATGGGAGCATATTTCATTATGCTTGTTTGTACATAGCTTGTTACTGCAATACAGGCAATGAAATTACTTTGAAAATGCAATTAAAAACCCAGAAGGTGAAGGGTATAACTTTTTCTGGCATAAATCGTCTAGAGACAGTGTCCTAGATACTATACCAAGTGTTGCTGCCTTGAGCTGAACTCAAGAGGGAATGTGCTTTCTAGCTTCTACAGCATCTTCACCATTACTTTTGACAGTCCCAATCTGACAGTGTTGGCACTTCCAATTTTCACTTTCTTGTTTTTGTAACTTCAAGTCACATGGTATTCAGGGTTTCAATTGAACTTTCCCAAGGAAGAAAGCATGTTAAATTGCAACAGGGAAGGAGTTCCTTTTCTTACTGCCTGAGCTGCCAAGCTATCATTTCTTCGGTAGCTCATCAAGAGACAGCTGATTTAAAGACTGTGTATTACTTTTGAAAGGGCTGAACCTGATGATAAGAAAACTCCAGATACAACTTTATACAGAACAGAGCAACATTTCCCTCTAAGTGGGGCTGTAGAAGTATTGTGGCAATGTAGGAAGTGCTCTGATGAGATTGCAGACAAAGGCAATGCAATCAAAAGGAATTGACCATTATATTCAACTATAGGGATCCCACAGGGAGGTGAGTTGCCAGCTACAGACAAAGGTTAGCATTGCAACATTGCCAGGAGATTCCAGTCAAGCTGATGGCTAACTGTTGCCACAGAAGTCATTCCAATTGTTTAGGGAGGAACCCAGTAATATACAAAGGAAATACTTGTATCATGTATGACTGTACTGCAGGGGTAAACTTCCCTTTCATAAGCAGAAGCTAATGTCTGTATGACCAAAGATACTTACTGATGAAACCTAAGGAATGGAACTATTTCCTCTGTGTGTTGGCATTTGTATATGAGAGCATTTTCCTCATGTGTTGGAATTTATTTGTGACAGCATGTGCATGTGTAATTCTGCAGAGAAGTTGGATGCTTAACAATCGACATTTTCCTTTTTTAAAAAAAATATGATCCTATGGTGGATCATCTTTTGAAGCACCAGAATAATATATAACTTTGTTTTTCATCTATGTCTATCCAAAGCCTTATTCCAGTTCTAAGAAAGAAAATTATATAATTCAAAAGTGCCTTCTGTTTAGCAGACTCCAAAACTTATATACCAGTTTTGCCCTCTATGCAAGGGAGAGCACACAAGAGGTTGTTTGCACAAGCAACTTGCAGCATGTTAGTCTGCCACAGCAAAAGCAAGGGGGAAATCATGTGGAACCTTAAAGACTAACAATTATACTGTAAACTCTCATAGACTGAAGTGCACATCATCATTATGCCAAAATAACTCTATTTGCCTTAAGGG